CATTTGTTCTTAGTCTTTTCGATACTGGCCATAAAAGGTTTTGTTTTTGTTTTTTTTAATGGAAAAGAGCTGCTAAATTTTACATTCGATGAATAAAGAGGACTACTTAAAAACAATGAATAGAATTGCCCCACCCCATCCTGACCAGAGGACTCTGGGAGGCTCTGGGCCTTTGGGCATCTAAGTGGCAGTGAGAGATCGAGGATCTGTGAAATTTTTGGCTCACATACAACTATCGGCATGACTGTGGAGAACTGTCTTCCAGCACCCCTAACTTTGAATTACCCTTGTGAGAACTAGCCCAAAGCCAGTGTTCTGACTGCTGTGAAAAAAGCAGAAGCACAACAGGGAACTTCTTTCCACTTTGGTGTGCTTTATAGTTTTCTCATCGGCCCACTGTCCAGTCCCTCAGTCAGCTCATCCTGTTACTAGTAGTATGGGTTGGGATACATTTTACAAATTTTGGGGTGCTACCTAATACTTAGCAACCAAGGATCAGACGTTCTCACTTTGTGAGGATAAAGGAAATATAGTGCCCACTGCTAACAAAACATGTTCTTAGGCTGGTGGTTGTAGGTCTTGTAGCCGCCAAGTCTGCATTTGATGTTCATTAATCCTCATCTTGGGATCCTCGTGGGAAAAATTGAAAAGTTGCAGAAATCACTTATTTAATCTTACGTGTTCTGCTAGGTAGTTGTTTATTCTTCCTGTATTCTCCCATTCTGATCTGGGGAACAAGGGGATTTATGAAGAAATGGTTAGAGAGTAAAGTTAATGAGTTGAAAGTTGCCTGGCCAGAAGTTAGAGTACAGTGGTGCTGGGGAATAAACGATGGAAATGAAGCAGAGATGGTTAGAGATTCTTGCAAATTCATTTATTTCCATACCCAGAACCTGAGGCAGTATTTGTCAAATGGTCCAGAGCAGTGACTCTTGAAACCAAGTGGCAAACCTGGGTTCAAAACTTAGTGATTGTGTGACTTTGGGTGAGTTATTTAACCTCTCTGAGCTTCTACCTATAAAATGATCACTGAAACCATAATGTACCTCCCCTTAGAGTTGTTTTGATGATATAATCCATTTAAGAAGCTAAATACACGGCCTGATACTCAGTCTGCTTAGTGGCAGTGGTATGTGGTGTGGGCCAGGCTCGGCCTAATTCTGGGGTTGGGCTCTGGTAAACCAAGTCTATAGGCTAGGAAGAAAGAAGTTGGTAGGTAGTCTTCTGCACGCTAAGTGTCTGTTACACATCTTCTTGGCCTAGAAAGAAGTATCACAGAAAACTTACCTGGATTTATTTGGTTGGTGGAGTAAACATCACCCACTTTGAAATTGAATCACTTTGAGGTTTTGGTTTGTTGAAAGCCATAGTTTGGAAATAAAATTGCTTGTTTCTAAAAACAACGCAGGCATTTATCAAGTATTATTTTCCCCCTCTCCTCCTAACTCTTCCTTGTTAGCATCTAAATTTAATAATCTACCTGCTCCCAGTTTTTCTTACTGTCTGGAATCAACAAAGTTTAGGTTGACTTTGCAGATTTAGAGAAGTCAAATTTGTAGAACTCTTGAAACATCATAAGAGGAAAGCCCCCGCCACCCCACACCATCCCTTGTTTTAAATGCAAAAGCAGAAAAATAGAGGTGGGAACTGTGAATAACAGATTGAAGGACTTTGTGGTGGAGGCATTTTGTAAAAATGATACTGCCAAGGCAGTTGACCACACTTTAGTCCTGAACTTACCTGCTTTTCAGCAGCATTTGACCCCTGTGGTCATTGTGTCAGGAAAAGCTCTCATGTTCTGTCTTCATTGGCACCACACCTTCTTTCCTTTTTCCCTCCTCCACCCCAGACCCGGCTCATCCTTCTCACTTCTCCATAGGTTCTTCTGGGGACCCTCAAGTGTTACTGCTTCTGTCATGTTTTGTCGTGTTTCCTCTTCTCTCTTTTTCTATTCTCCCTGGGCGGTCTGATTCACTATTGTAGAAAATTTTCTTGGAAAATAAATCCAAGAGCTTCCCGGAAACCTCTACCTGAATTACCCTTAGATACTTTAATCTGAACTCTCCTCCTGGCGCCAACCAGCTGTGTCTCTGTGAGGAGCCTCTGCAGGATCTAAGTACCTGCTTTATTACCCAAAGTGCAGGACTTCTGGGTGAGGATGGATTGAATATACTAAATGCAGGGAAGAACAGAGGGGACACACACACACACAGAGTTAGACACTGTTCCTGCGCCACCCCAGATAGGGCTTGCTCAGTCAGCACAAATCTGTTGGACAAGTGAATGAGTCCCAGCAGGACTGCGTGTAATACAGGAAAGGATATGTGGGTTTTACTGCCATTAGTATATTCTACAGTTAGATGACTGTAAGAAATATTCTTTCAGAAGAAAGTGAGGGTGAAAACGTAAGGCAGCTCTGATTTAATTGGAAGATAAGTTTAGCCACCTGCAGTGTCCACAGACTGATTTGTCAATAGTAGCAATTCTTATTGTGCATTTGTATTTTTATTATTTGGACTTTAAAAATAAAGACAGGTCTCAAATTTAAATAAGCTTTTCCACTCATTTTTATGTTTTGGTAATTTGTTAATATTAAAATGTAAACATGGAACATTTTCATCTCCCTGCTGAAGAAGATGGAAGACCTTGAAGGGAGACCAACAGCAGGAGCTGGCTGGGCCTTGCTCACCCCTGGGGTGAAAGTTCAGGAAAGCACTTCTGGATGAAGGGCCTGTGGGTGCCTTTCCAGACTGAGTGCAAAGTGCGCTCTTTGCCCTGCACTCAGTCAAATGTTATCACAGTGCTGGTGCCTCTCATATTCTGCCTTTGATTTCTGAATTCTAATGATGTGGAGGAGCATGAATTGTCTGGCAAAACAGTTTTTCCTGTTTATTATTAAAGTCTTTAATTTTTTTCTATCACATATATAAAAAATTTTTTTCTTTTATAAATATGAAAGTAATATTTTACTGAAAATTTAGATGTCTATTTTAAAAAAATCAAACCACCAAATTTGCATAGCCTGAAACGATAACTGTTAATTTTCTTCCATTCTTTATTCTGTGCACAGGTATTTGTTCTTGTCATATACAATTTTGTTCACATGTATAATTTTGTAGACTTCATTTCTCTCTTTTTTTTTGAATAAAAATTTCATCCTAAACCATATGATTTTTACAATAAATCTCAGATGTTGGGGAATATCACAAAGTCACTATCTCAGGAAACTTACATATTGTAGTCATGGGAGATATGTTAAAAACAGAGAAGCAATAATTTTGAGAAAGTTATAAAAAAAAAAAAGAAGTGAAAGTTGTCCATAGGCCTATCACCTGGTCATAATGATGTATTATCTGATATGTGTCCTAAATTTATTTTTAAAAAGTAGTGTTGATACAGTATTTTTTTAAAAATGGGATTAAATTGTAAGTTTTCTTTTTTTACTTCCCAACATATGGACAGTTTTTTATGTCAATTAAAATTTTTTAATAATGACTACATAGTATTATTCCATATGAGGGATATGCTATTGATATTAATGTAAGCATTTTCCTGAAGATTGATGAATAGGTTATTTTATTATTTTTTTCTCTTTTAAAAATAATTCTATATATCAGATATTCTTACACACAAACCTTTAGAGTACCTAAATGTTTTCTTAATTTATGTTCTAAAAGAGGAATTGCTCAGATTAAAAGCATATCCACAATTAAAATTTTAGTGTTGTTTCTATACTCCCCTGGAAAAAAGGCTTTTAATAGTTGACACTCCTGTCGGCAACATGAGAGGAACATTTTTGGTATATCCTTATATTGGATTTTTAAAAGTTGAGATATAATTCACATACCATAAAATCCACACTTTCAAAATGTGCAATTTGGTGTCTTTCAGTATATTTCAAGATTGTGTAAAAATCACTACTGTCTGATTCCAGAGCATTTCATCACCCCCAAAAGAAACAATGTGCCCATGAGAGAGGGTCTCCATCTCCCCTATCTTCAACCCATGGCAGCCACTAACCTGTTTTGTGTCTCTATGGATTTACCCATTCTGGATATTTCATATGAATGGAATTATGTAGTATGTGGTCTTTTGTGCCTAGCTTCTTTCACATAATGTTTTCAAGACCTATTCATGTTTGTGTATGGATAAGTTTCTTAATTATGGTCTATTTTGACTTTCAGATACTTGAGTGATTCTTAACTGTGACCCTAAGATCAAAGGAGCTTTGTCCTCGGACCTCAGTTTGGGAACCATTGACCTTGGCCATAATATTTTTACTAGTTTTCAAATGCTTTACAACAGTCCTGAATCCAGTGTATCTAGATTTAAATCTTTAAATGTGTTTTCCAGGAATATTGTAGATTAATAATTTTGAGTCACAGAAATGGGTTTTCTTACTTACAGTGCATTTTACAGTTAGCATCATTGCATGTTTGATCAGTTGGCCTCTTTATTTCATCCTTGTGTTCCTGTTTGCTTGTCTCTATTTAAATTGTCAGGGTAATGTAAAATATTGTTGGTGCCATGGTTGATCTTCTCCATCTATTCCTTTAGGGCCATTTTCAAAGTGGTGATATAATGTCCTTCTGGTAGAAAGTGAAACAGAGACTTTATTTAGGCTATTTGCCTTTTCCCCCACTGACCTTGAGACACATGGAAGAAATATTTTTTGTCAACATGTTTTTAATTCTCAGCAGGTATTTTTTCCAAGTTTCTAACAAGGTGCCTTAAAAACAAAAAAACTCTTTTGGTGAATTACTGACTTTGAGATTGTAATTTTGTATTTTTATCACGAATAATGCTTTTGGGATGCCTCCCCTTTTCAACATTGACTAATTGTGCTCCCATTTCCTCGGTTTCTCTTCACCCTCTAGGTTGTCCCAGCTCTGCCACTCCCTAGGAATATAACCTCAACAAGTTGCTTCGTCTCTGAACTGATTATCTTACCTGTAAAATGAGAGAGTAGCTAGATGACTGGCTGTGATTCCTGAGAGTGGAATTGCTGGGACATCCGGAAGGTATATGTACAGTTTCATAAAGAACTACCTGACCTTTTCCCAAAGTGGTTTATGTACCATCACATTTAACATTTCTAACCAAGTCTAATCACGTTGCTCTGGTGGCCTAGCACTTGTTACAGTCCCTGGGACATCATAAACTGCCCAGTGGAAATGAATGTTAGCTTTTGGCCAGAGGGTCCAGATCCAGGTTCTTCTAGTCACTAGGTATATGGCCTTGGACACATCACTTAATGTCAATAATCTCCTATTTTTCCAGATTACCAAACAGATATCTTATTAGTAGTCTTGTAGGATTGTTATAAAGATGAGAGATACTATGAAACATGCTTTGCATGTAATTCCAAGTATATCCATATGATATGTGTCCAATAAATGTTAGCTGCTAATAGTGACTGATAGGCTAATGATTGAATATCCAGTTACCACCACCTACTTCCACCTGCCTCAGCGTCTTCAGAGAGCCCTATCCTTCAGAAGAGAGGCCCTTGAGATGAGGTTGGAGTTGAAGAGAGGGGCCCACTTGGACTACAGAGAACTGCCTTGGAGGAATTGGGTCTTTAACATGGAGTCTTTGAAAGCATCTTTAGTAAACAAATCTGTATTTCTTGCTTTTTTAGTGATCCACCCTTGCACGCTAAGCAAAACCTTGTTCCCTGAGGGCCAGGTGTTCTGGCACAGCATTCAACAATACCCCAGGGACAGTTACACACTCAAAGGACCAGAGCTTTAACTGGGTACCTGTTACGGCACTGTTGGGTTTCTTGTTGCCTCATGTTTTCTTCTTTCCTTTTTTTTTTTATTGTGGTAAAAGACACATAATGTACAATTTACCATCTTAACCATTTTTTTGTATTTGACTTCAAATTCTTTTAAAATTTACTTAGCCCCTCCTTTTCTTAAGCCATCTTAAGTACTGAATCAGCAGTGAGGTAGTCAAACTGCATTGTATTCCTTTTTCTCTTTTTAAGTAGTGAGTCCTGTCAGAGTGACCACGTCTCTCTGGATTTTGGCTTATTTATGAGGCTGGACTTCATGATAAAAATACTTTTAAAATCCTCCTTTCATGTTTTTCTCCTGGGATTCTCAGTGTTAGGTTTGGGAATATCAGACTAGGGAAGGGAGCTAGGAAAAACAAAGGGAAACATGCAGCTAAATTTTGTGCTGTCCATCACTCTCAGCCTGAGCACAGAGTGGGCAGCCAGAGCACTGGAGGGGAACCACGCCACCTCGGCCCGTGTCTGTGCCCTTCCGCACTCGCCAGGCCTCTTAGGGGAGAGCAGGCTACTCACCAGGGGTGCTGTTCCTGAGGCATCAAAGGTAATTGTAACCGTCTTCCTGGAAAGTCTGCTCGTCCCTCCCAGGCTCTCAAGTTATTTCTTTGTTCCGGACCCAGGAGAGTGCGCTGTTCCCTGAAACTACACCCACGGTGTTACTGGGTGGTTGCCAACTTCAGCTTGGTTATGAAATGACAAGTGTACTTTGCAACACCAGGCCTGAAAGTATGATATAACTTCTGCCTTAAAAGTGGTCACACTGGGAAGCTGCACCTTTATTTGATGGTGCTCAGAAACAGCTTTGAAACTTCAGCATCTGTCACACATTCTGTCTAATGGCATCTGTCACTATAAAGCCTCCTCCTATACAGGTGGTTGGTTTTTGCAAGTAGCAGGGGTTATTTAGTGCTGAGTCCAGTGGCTAAATTAGATGATCATATGGAAGAACACCATTTTCAGTTAAATGTAAAAGGCATAATTTTGAATAATCTATATTTTCTTCTTGAAAATCAAAACAGCTGAATGTTGATACTGCTTGAAGTTATGTGAAAGCAAAGATTCAGGGGGGAAAAGCACCACATGAGTTTAACCCTGCATCCTTATCATTCCAGTGACGCCGTCTTTATTTATGAACACATTTGAACAAAGCTTTTTGTATTAACATGATAAATACCATTCTAGGTCAGAGCAGTGTGCCTAGGATTTTGTGTCTGCTAGTGGCAACGAAAGGTATTTTGTGGGAGAGACTATCATTCTTGCCTGTTTTGGACATGTAGCTTAAAAGGTGCTTCAGATGTCTGCACATAACATGGCAATCCTTCAGGTTTTTACATACAGATTTCTTACATGATATGCTGACAACCACTTGGTACAGCTCCACAGGGCAAAGCATGCACATATAATGTGTGTCCTGTTTGCTATTCTGTCCGCAAGGCCCAGCACAGGAGGAACTGACACAGAGCAGGCACTCAGTAAATGTTGAACAAATCTATACATTCAAACTTAGTATCACTTAGCATGAACCGTGCAATGGAAGAGTAATATACTTGTTTCTCTTTCTTTTACAGTTGTCAAATTTAAAAGTTCTGACTCACTCCCCAATGTCTGATGCCTCTATCGGTTTTGACTACAAATCCCCCTCCCCGTTTGACCGCAGCACCGATCAGGAAGAGAAAATCGATGATGTTGCCAGTCACTGTCTGCCCCAGAAGGACCTGTTTGCTGCTGAAGAGGAAGCAGAGACCCTTTTTCCTCGGAAAATGACATCCCATAGTGGGCTGGAGGACAGCGGAGGAGGTGGCACTGGAGTGAAGAAGAAACGGAAGAAAAAGGATCTGGGAGAGCAAGAGGGGGCAGCAAAGGGAAGCAAGGACAGGGAGCCCAAGCCAAAGAGGAAGCGTGAACCTAGAGAGCCAAAGGAGCCCAGGAAGGCCAAGGAGCCCAGGAAGGCCAAGGAGCCCAAGGAGCCCAAGCAGAGGGATGGAGCAAAGAAAGTGCGGAAGCCCCGGGAGGCCTCGGGCACCAAGGAGGCCAAAGAGAGGAGGAGTGGGGTTGACTCTGCAGCCAGGACGAAATCCAGGAAGGCCAGGTGCGTCCCTTTCTCCCCACTCAGGCACTTGGCTCCGCCTCCACGGACAGTTTGCCTTTGGCCTTACTCCAGCCTCGGGACGTACCTTTATAGTTTCAGCCAAAATGAGCTACTCTCTCACCTCCTAATGAGAGTTAAGATAACCTTAATACTGGTCCTGCAATTCTGGCCATGCCTGTGGATTAAGAAGAATTACAATATGTCAGCACACACAGGGTGTAAGGGAAGGGACGCCACAGGTGTGGTACAGGGAGGACAGCGGATTGTGGAACAGCAGCAGTGTAGGGTGACCGAGGAGCAGCTGTCAGGAGGGTGCACGGTCCTGGGAATCCGTGGTATCAGCTGTCTGGGATAGCCACAGTCGTGCACAGAGTTCCAGACAGCAAAGGACTGCCTCGCTTCCCTAGGCTTTGAGCTCTTGAGTGCGGGAGTGTTCCTGGTCTGTTTCTTTTGTTCAGAATCTAACCCGGGTGCCTGGCACATCTGCAAGTGCTCAGAAAACGTGTAAATGACCAGAGGAGATGGTGACTTGAGAGGGTCAGAGGGTATCTGTACAGAATCACTGCACAGTGGAGGGTGGTGGGGCCCTGCCTGTAGATCTTACCAGGATCCCAGTGCACTCTTTGCTTAGGGAATTCAGTGTTTGTCATGTATATACAAGTGTGATGTTCTCCGTTTTGTCTCTTTCTAAACTCTTTGTGCAGAACATTAAACTTTTTGAGGAAATAAACAAAAAATACATAACTCCTGTAGACTTAAGAGGATATGTAAGTTTCTGACATCTAAGGGCAGAGGCAGAATAGGGACCAGGAGCACCCCCAGGAGTGCAAGCTTGCCGTGAATGCTCCCGGAGCATCGAGCAGTGATACCGCCTGCCCGGGGTCAGGCACGGAGGCTGTAAGCTGCAAAGAAGGAAAGCATTGCAGGTGGTGTGGGGCCACGCTCGGGTTTGCTACATGGCTCAGGTCCTTTTCCGAAGGACAGTGTGTTGGGACCAGGTGGGCAATTTCATACTCTGAGTTAAAACTGCCTTACAGTATTTACTCCCTTCTGCCTGGCAGGAGATCTCATCTTTAGTTTCCCTTAGAGCCTTGGGTGGGATCCTAGAATTGTCATTTACAGAAATGGACTTAAAATACCTTACAGAAGAAGGTCAAGAAAGTTAAGTAGGTAACATTAGGATTGTGACTAAAGAGAACTTCTGGGCTCTGTTTCTCAGGAAGCCTGCTGAGCATACTCTGATCTCTGGTGTGTGTGTGGGGAGGGGGGGTGGTAGCAGAGTGAGTTTCTGTATCCTGCCAAAAACTCTCATTCCAAATCACTTTGGAGAAGCTGAAGCTGTTCTTTAAAGTGATAGCATGTGTGAAGGAGAATCAGGTGGGAGCTAGTGCAGCGACTTACTGTGGTCATTAGAGAAAACACAGGAATCCTTGAGGATGGTGTTCTAGACTTTGCGTAATTCGAGCAACGTTGTCAGCTCTAATAAAGAGTAAGGGTTATGCATAAGAGGCAGGAGAGAATAATAGGTATCTGAGTTCAGTTTAGCCACTGGTATCTGATGCTTCCAGTTTTACTGACTTCTTCTTAAAGGAATTAACATTTACTTTGTGTGGGATGTGAAGCAGGGTGATCAGTGTATAGACACTGCCGTGTGTTCCATTTTGGGGCAGTGAGGAGGGATTTCACAAAACAAGATTGGGTGTCAAATGTATGCGTAGTGATATGAAGGGAAGCTGATTTGATCTACTTAAGCTGTATGAAATAGAAATGAGAAGTGCTTGGTAGTGTTTTCAAGGGCTCCTGACTTTGAAGACGGCAGACCACTTGAGGTTTAGAAAGCCAGGGGACACCCTTTGAGAGAATGCCAACAAAGACAGAGTTGGTTATCTCTTTAGAAATGTGGGCAGGTTACATGAGACTTTCTCTTGATTTTGGGGCTGTGTAAGATAGACTTGTGATGTAACAGAATTCTTTGTAGCCAGTAGGGTTCTGGACTGGTGAGGTTTTCATTTCTTGCCCTTTATATATTTAAAAATTGCTCTGGTTCCTTTAATTAATGATCCCACTAGTCAGCAAAGCAGTTTTACTTCGGAAAGGACATGAATTGACTTTAAAAAATGTTGGTGATTAGGTCTCGGTTTTTGGTCTCTTTGATTTACTCTCTCCCAGATCGGTTCAGGCACATTTCGATTTGAGCAGTTATTGACGAGGCCCTGGATAATACTTGATTTACAAATGATGCACTGAATGCTTGGATTATTGTAGGAGCTCCACAACTGATTTAAGGGCTTTTAATCTTTTCCTCCTTCAGTCCATCCTGCCAGCTGCCACCTGGGTGATTTTTCTGAGGCACTGTTGTTTGTCACCTTATTTATGTAGTAGGTGGTGGTGGTATATCAAACCTCTTCTTCCCTTCTCTTCCTTTCAGATCAATTGGGAAATAGTCTACAGAGGTGGAGATGCAATTGTCAGCTTTATTAATGATAAACTGGGTTGAAGAACTTCCATTGGCTTGTGCCAAAATCAGGCGTCTTGTTACTCTCACTGTTGAGTTCATACACAACTGAAGGCACGTTCCTGACTCTGGGAGAGGATGCTGAGTGTTGTATGAACCATTCCTTTCCCAGTGTTACTAGTCTGGCAGGTTCCCAGCAGAGAAGTAAGAGGAGTATGAAGAAGTGCTAAAAATATGTTTCCAGTATTGTTCCTTCCTTGAGAGTAAAACATTATTTTTCTCCTGAAACCGTAGGGACAGAGAAGTGGGATTCCCTCATCAGTTTACCTGCTTAGATCTTCTGGTGGTTCTTACTGCTTCCAGGACAAAATCCAGACTCCTCTCTCTGTTGTTCAAAGCCCTTGGGGTCTGAGTGGTGACGTCTCCCTGCCATCCCATCTGTGACAATGGACCCTGCCAGCTACATTGATGTCACTATCCCTCAGAGGTCCTTGGGGTGCTTTGGTTTGCTCTTGCTGTTTCTCCCAACATTATGCCTTTGGTCCTTCTCCCAGGATCCCAAGTCTTTTCCATTTTTCAGGTCTGAGTGCAAGTCCCAGTTCCTTATGGAGCTTCCCCAGACCAGTGTGCTAGCACGTCCCCTCTGCACTTCTCTAGTGCTTGGAGCCTCACTTTGCATTACAAAGCAGAGACTTTCACACCTGTCCAACCCTGTTGTACTGCAGCCAGAGAAATGGAGCACGGAGAAGTGACTTGTTTTAAAGGGTGTGCTGCAAAATCAGACCTCCTAATTCCTGGTCTTGTACATTTCCCTGTGCAGTAGCAACCTCTCCATCATAAGCTGCTGTTTTCATATATGTCTTACTTGCCTCTTAGAACAAATGGGTAGAGTTCTTCTCCCAGAAAATAAGACCCATAAAGAAATCATATAACAACTCCCATTGTTAAATAACAGTAGGTGTTACCTCCATTTTATCATTGAAGAAGTGAAAAATTTTAAAGTAACTTGTCTAAGGCTCAAAGCTAATGAGTAGCCTTGTCAGGATTTGACTTTGGGCTCACCTGACTATAAAACCCCCTTTTCCCCAACTCCTTTGAGCCTCTTTTTGCCTTGCTAGGGAAGGTCAGGAATGGGACGCGGTGGGGAGAGTCCAGTGGCAGAGAAGTTGGTTTTGTATGTGTAGGAAATGACCCCTCTTCTGTAGAATTTCAGTTTGCACATTGCACAGCCTCTCGAGGACTGAGGCGGCTCCAGCTTCTTCCTTTGCTGTTCCTCTTCACAGAGATAATTGAACATGTCTCTTTTCCTAAATAGGTGATAGAATCTTACAAATTTTCTTTTTCAAGGATATTAAAATAGTGACAATATGTTTAAGGGATAAAAGTCCAAAATGTCCAAGTAGGGGAAACTTTTTCTTTTTTTTGAACTACCTTCTCTTCCTGTCCCTCCTAATTAATTATCTTGGAGTATGAGCTTTGTTCACTCCTTCATTATATAAAACTTAAGCAAGAAACTTCCAGAAAGCCAAGTTAGGCTGTCAGTCATTTCCCTGACTCTGAAATTTAAATTTCACTTAGTTTAGCTTATTTCCTTTTACCTTTTTTTTTAATAGTAACCTTTTTCCAAAGAAGTTGGAGCCACTGGGCTGAGAAAACATATACAGACGTGTGTGTGTGTGTGTGTGTGTACATACATATGTACATGCAGACCTAGATAAATGAAGATACTCATGGTCCTTACAGCAGCAGCAAGGGGATCAGAAAACAGAAAGATAGGCAGGTGTCAGGTTGTGTGGGGGAAATTTCTGACTTGGGAACATTATGTGATATAACGAATACTGTCCTCAAGAGCAGTTTTTGGAATCAGATGCTTCTATGTTCCTGTGAATTTCATACTTCTCTTTCTTGAAGTAGCCTTTAGTAAAAGTCAGCTTCATGCCAGTAAGGCATGGCTCAGTGAACAGGAAAGGCGACCCATTATACTGTGTATGAGGCCATCTGGTGCTTACTGGGTATCTAGGGAATACAGGCTACAGGCATGCCTCATTTTACTGTAATTTGCAGATTTTGCATTTTTTACAAATTGAAGGTTTATAGCAGCCCTGTGTTGAGCAAGTCTGTCAGCACCATTTTTCCAGCAGCATTGGCTCACTTCTTGTCTCCACGTCACAATTTGGTAATTCTCACGCTATTTCAAACATTTTCATTGTATTTGTTACAATAATCTGTGATCAGTGATCTTCGATGTGACTGTGTGATTGTTTTGGGGCGCCATGTCTTATATCTGTCCATACAGAACAGTGAACTTAATCAATAAATGTGTGTGTTCTGACTGCTCCACTGACCAGCCATTCCGCCACCCCTCTCCCTCTCTGCCAGCCTATTTCCTGAGACACAACATTGAAATCAGGCCAATTAACAGCCCCACAAAGGCTGAGTGTTCAAGTGAAGGGAAGAGTCACACTTTTTCTCTCACTTTAAATCAAAAGCTAGAAATGGTTAAGCTTAGCGAGGGAAGGTATGTGAAAGCTGGAATAGGCCAAAA